CGGGGATTTGCAGCAATTTTTGGGGGGATGGGGGGTGGCATGGGGGTAATGAGGATTTTGTTTTTTTACGTTTTTTAGTTTTTTAGAGGGACAGGTGGGGTTGTGAGAATTTGAATGAGTGGGTGGTGGAAGAAATTTGAAATTTCACGAATGTTTGGTCCTTTTCGGAATTTGGGGAAATCGTGAAATTTTAAATTTGGGGAGAAATTTGCTGAAGTTTTACAAGAATTCTTTAATTCACATGAATTTGTTATAAAATTTTGCATATTTTGGAGAAAATCTGCATATTTTGGCCTCATCCTGGATCAATTAAAAAAAATGCTGTTACTGACAAGAATGCGATTTTTAAATTTTTTCCTGCAGCTTCCCAGTAGCGCCACTGTCGTCAACCCCCGGAATTTACTATTCATTCCTACCCTAGTCGGTAACACTCTTTCCTTACTCATCCCTGCGACTCCTTTTCGCTCGGTGGGTAAGTCCGCTGAGGATTCTAAACCCGCACACTTCCCCGCCGAGCCTTGACCACAAAAAACGAGAGCCCCTGATTCAATAAAAAAATTGGGGAGGGTGGGGTAAAATGGACTCTTTAGCCTTTTTTAAAATTATTCATAAGTCAGAAACAAATTCATCAATTGAGCTCAGTTTAGGCTCGTCACAAAGGGTAAAGGATTGTTCTTTGTATTGAAAAAAAAAAATTAATTTTTATCAACATTTCAACCCCTCATTAACATTTTTAAAAAAGTCAAGTGTCCGTTTTACCCCAACCTCCCCCACTGCTAAAGCCGTAGAATCGAATTTTTTCCCTTTAATGCCCGAAAATTTTAATCTACCAGAATTTAAACGCGCAACTGATCCCACCCACCCAAAACGTATCGCTCCCCGCGGGAGTAATATGAGATGCCCCTCTAGCCCCACCGAAAAAAACGTAAAATGTAAAATCGCGTAATGAGAGTATTCTATACCTCTCGAAAAATTTGGTAAAAATTCCTGGCTCAGCATCGTGCTCTATCGCCTGGAAATTCAGCGTCCTTAGTCACCATACTCATTTTTTTATTCAACTCTCAAATGGTAATACCCGGGGTCAGCACAAATATGTGAATTCGGAAGTGACCTCACCTCGTAATTTCGCTTATCGGCACTCTCCCCAGCACACATCCCCACCCCACCCTCGTTTTAATATAAAGATTACCGTACGCTTCATCATCGCGAGCGAACAAAAATCCGCGAATTTACACGTTCAAGAGCGTGGGATAAAAAAAAATCCGAGAGGGGCATAAAAACGGAAAAAATTGCAGAAAGCAGACAGAAACACCTAAAACGAAATCTCGTAATAGAGGAAGGAAGTGCATCGACTGGAGGAAATGAGGTATTCGCTCCTCTGTCTCCATCCTTCTATATCCATCCATGCGCGCGAAACAACTTCGACTTCTCATTTTAATATCTGCACAAATGTTTAAATTGCAAGAGGAACGCGAAAAAAACGCGCTTTTTCTTTTTGTTTATTTTTGGATTTTTTTTCCGCTTTATTGCAGTGACGCTGAAGCCTCCACGAGTATCGCAGGTGTACCTTTACGACCCATAAAACCCTTCTGCAGCGATGAAACGGCCTTGCCAAAGAAAAATCCAAAAGCACATGCAAAACAAGGGAAACCGCATTCCGCAGCGGAATGGTGAAATGAGTTTTTGAAGATATTTTCGGAAACATTTCAGAGAGAATTTTTGAGATGGACCTTTTTTGAAGACCTGGTCGAGACCTACGAATGACGGATTTACAAAAATATCGCTATTCCGCTTCAATTCCGAAGTTTCTCCGCAGCGTTTTTTTTCTCCGCATAAATTCAAAATTTCTCCGGGTCCATTTTGTAGATATTCCGTATTTCGTGAGATGTGTTTTTAGGAAAATTCTTGAATGGTAGAGACCTTTTTGATAGAGCGGATGGGCCCTACAAAGGTTTCGCTGGCTCCGACAAAAAAAACCGCAACTTGATTCTAAATATTTGGGACCGAATTTTTTGTCCGCACGGAGTTTCTCCCGGAATCAACTGCGCATTTGTTTTTTGTAATTCCTAATAATCGGTCAATTTTCAGGAAGTGTTTTCTTCATTTCAATAGATATTTTCCATGCTAATTAACCCTTGCGTAGACCCCCCTTCGCGAATAACGGAACCCATTCCACCCATTCCTTGGAAACCGATCGCTCCGCAGCGTTTTTTTCTCCGCATAAATAAATCCATTTTGTAGATATTCCGCATTTCGTGAGATGTGTTTTTAGGAAAATTCTTGAATGGTAGAGACCTGTTTGATAGAGCGGATGGGCCGTACAAAAGTTTCCCTGGCTCCGACAAAAAAAACCGCAAGTTGATTCTAAATATTTGGGACCGAATTTTTTGTCCGCACGGAGTTTCTCCCGGAATCAACTGCGCATTTGTTATTTCTAATTCCTAATAATCGGTCAATTTTCAGGAAGTGTTTTCTTCATTTCAATAGATATTTTCCATGCTAATTAACCCTTGCGTAGACCCCCCTTCGCGAATAACGGAACCCATTCCACCCATTCCTTGGAAACCGATCGCTCCGCAGCGTTTTTTTCTCCGCATAAACAAATCCATTTTGTAGATATTCCGCATTTCGTGAGATGTGTTTTTAGGAAAATTCTTGAATGGTAGAGACCTTTTTGATAGAGCGGATGGGCCCTACAAAGGTTTCGCTGGC